TATATATATATATATTTGAAAAAAGTTGAAAGTGGTTAAAATTGCGAAGCTCACGGTGAAGTAAAATATTTGCATGTTCTGGCAGTAATTTGCGAACTATTTCGGATAGATATTCGCGATGTATTACTATTAAGGTTGTTACTTCGCCTAAGATAATAACCCCTTTTACTTACCTTCTCTCTTCACGAATTCAAATTTATCGCGAGATTATGCGGCCGATTGTGATGCCATAACGTAAATTGCATCAAACATGCATCGTACGTATTCAGCAAATTGATCAGAATACAAATGCATTTCCGAAGTCTAATTATGAGACAATAGCTTTTTTCTTTCGAATTTTAGCGATGCTTTTCGTACTCTTATTATTTATATTTCTAAATAATTTAGTGTTGAATTTAATTAAGATATTTGAAAACTCAGAAGAAAATTAGAATTATAATATTTATATCAGAGTTTTGTTTATCTGGTTTCTACTTTATAAATTTCTTGATAAATTTCACTTTTAAAAGAGAAGTAGACTTTAGAAAAACACTAATATATTAAATGTTTAATTAATTAATAATAATCAATACCAATCAGACAGCCCCGCTGCTATTATTGATGACTGTCTTCTCCGTGGCATCAGTGTTGTTATTGGAATTCGTCTTGGTAATGTCCATCTGATTAGATTTCGTGTTGTCTCTCGGTCCGTCCAGGAAGTAAGTTATCATACTGCCCTTTCCTTTGACTTGAATCGTTCCGCGGCACGTGAGCGGATATCCTTTAGTAATCAGAATATCACGGACCTCCTGGGTGACTTGAATCCCATCTAACACGCCCGTAGAATCCATCCTGGAGGCCACGTTCACGGCGTTGCCCCAGATATCGTATTGCGGTTTTCTGGCACCGATCACACCGGCAACCACCTGCGCAATTCGCGTTGCATATTGAGTCTCTCCCTTGAGAATCCTCGACAATTTTTCCGCGATTTTCTTTCTCGCAGCTGAGTTCGAGTGTTATGTGAACGAAATAATCAAAATTTGATTACGAGAAATTGCATTACGAGAAAATATCGCGGAAGAGCTATGAATATGAATGGAAATTTAAAATTGAATCATCTTTAGAATTAAAAGAATTATAATTAATATCAGGCAATTTTTTTTCAGATATATTAAAATTTGAGAGGAAGTAATATCAAATTTAATATATTCTTTATTTTTTAAATTAATTAAAAATTGATATGAGATATAATTTTTTCGAGTTATTATATTACACAAGTTTTCAATATATTTTCAGATTCTCTCTCATTCCGTCCTGAATGCAATTTACGGATTATTTACAAAGAATGCAATGATGTAGTGAAATTGCTCGTTCCATGTTATTCAATATTACCGGTCCGATGTTGATGCCCACACGCATGCGAAAGTTATTAAAGCTGTGTTCATTGACATAGGCCAGCTGCTCGCGGATTCTCAGGGCGTAATCCGCCATTGCGATTACGTGCTTGTAATCCCGCATATCGCATGTGCTTTTTGTTAGGCCTAAAGCAACAAAAAAAAGATTAGAGTGAACTTTGCGCGACGGCGTTGTTCTGATCGCAATGTCCTAATTCGAGTAACGAGTCTGAGTTGTTAGGAAATTGTTAGGAAATTGCGCGAAAAATCAAGTGGCCGTGGGAAATTAGATCTGTTCTCGTGGAACTAGAAAAACTTTGTTAGGAGAATTAAAACAGGGAATTTTGGATTCGCAAATTTAATTTGGAAATATATTCGGTGGTGATACAAATAAATAAATTAAAAGTTAATTATTGAAATGTGCGATGAAGATAAAATATTTTATCATGCTTTTACGAATTTATTGCCGACTAGACATAATTAAATTTAATCCAATTTTGATCGATTCAATAATTAATTGTAAATGCAGTATCACTCTTTTCTGGAGCGATATAAAAATTGATGGCAATTTTTGAGAATAAATCAAAGAATTGTTGAATAATGATACTAAAAAAAACAAAAGGATTCTGAGAGAGATACATACCCGAAGCGGCCATATACGTAGCGCCTGTACTCTTGATCTTCTCGATGTACTTGAACTGTTCCTCAGCAAGTAACTCATCGAAGTCAGCAATGATTTCGTTGAGAAGTCTGAGGCATTCCACGCCCTCGTTATTCGCTTCGAGTTCTACATAGAACTCCGAAAAATTTGGTATCGAGGCGAACATAATGCACACAAAGTCGCATTGTTCGTGGTACAATTCCTGCGAAACGATCGACATCGTTCTAGACATGCCTGTTTAATCTTCTTTTTTTATAGAATATATTTCTTAATATTTTACAATAATCTTGTTTAGTTTTGTCACTTTATAAATAGTTATATTAATTTCTTTAAAACATAATATATAATTATAATTGTTCTGATCATTTTAATTATATTAATTTCTTATAGACTTTTGATATACTTTTTTAATAGTTTATTTTAATTATTTTTAAGGACTTTGAGAGTGGTATTGAAATCTATACATATATATTCACAATATATATTATTATTATTATTTGATATCTAATTTCATGCATTAAATGTGGCTGTTGGATAGGACAGGACAAATTGGATAAATAGATAGGACATAATTAGGTGAATGGATAAATATTATTGAATATCAGTCTGGAACCTGAAATTGAACAATTTAACATTTAACATGTCAGTTGTCACAGATTTTCTTTAGTTTGTGTATATACAATTGTGTGATTAAGGATTACTTTTGAAATTTTAAAAGTAATCCTTAATTAAATTATGAATATTACATCTAAATAATCTTCATACAACAATATTTTATTATAAAAATCTAGGATTAATGATTAATTTACGATTTAATTAGGAAAAGAAGAAATGGAAAAGCAAAGAAATGAATAAATACTGCTTTTATGAAAATGTCGCTGTCACGAAGCTTCTAAGAAAGCTGAAACTCAATTAACTCTATTACGATGAACTTTAAAATATACGATTTTATTTTATTTTACTCTGTTAGACATTAAAGGAATAAATCAATTCCTTGAAATTAAATAATATTTTATTATTTTTAACTTCTCTGTATGTGTTAAAATGTAAATCCGCAAAATGTTAATCCATTCCTTCAATTAGTTACAAGATAAACAATGTCCACATTAACGTTTTAATTCATTTATTAATAAATAATAATGATATTAAATTTGAATCAAATTTAATTTAATTTCTTAAATTAAATTAAATTAATTCCATTGTTTTAAGTTAACGATATACTGAATAGAAACAATGATGACATATAAATGGTTAAAAGTAATTCAAATTAGATATAATTTGACACTATGAATTTAATAATGTATACATCCAACTTACAACTAAATTGCTGTTAATCTATAATCATTTAATCTCATTATAGGAAATGCCAAAATGTAGCTATTTTGAGTATCCCAGTATCTT